AACGTTTCGACAAGGTTTTGTCATCATCAGGTTGTACATTTGCTGTTATGTTAAACTTATATTCAAGTTTTTCTTCATTACCCATTCAAGCCGTCTCCAGCCATTATTAGTATATAGTGTATGCAAACTACCTTGAACACCTGTCATAGACAAACAAACAGCCTCCCCAAATAAAATGTCACTTACAGGACATTATTCTTACCAACTCAAAAACATTATACTGTATATGTTGCAGAATAGCCTACTGAAACAAAAGACTCACATGCCATCTTTAATACTGTGGCTTCCTAATCTGCAATTTTTCTTTTCAAAACAATAACATTTACATTAAGATTTCATACTGTACAACTAACTAATGTGAAGAAGTGTTTTTTCATATATGTGATGGGAAAGGCACATATACTAATTTTTCTGAGAAAGCACAAGCTCTAGTCCTCCATATAGTAAAATAACAAACAAAGAGGTTTATATGTGACTAAAGAATAAGTTAATGATTTTCTAAAACATAATGAATAAGTCAACTCTATTCACACTGACATCAAGGCATCATCCAAAATGCTGGCTAGCATTAGAAGGCTTGCCTATGTGTTTGAAAGAAATAACTTAATATAATGGCTATTTCAAATGGATTATCCTGTATTTATTTAAACTATAAAGAAAACCTTAAATGTGCATTAGCAAATGAAAAAAAAAAGTCATATCCCTAAGAAGTATACAAAAGAGAAGAAAAAAAAAGAAGAGATTTATAAAAATCATCACACCAGTAAAAGATGGAAATTTATCACTGCCTTTAAATGAAATAGAAAGCATCTAATGCATCAAGCTAGATTTATGCTTGCTAACAATCCACCATGTCTTTTCTATATCCAAATAATCTGTTTCAAGCAATAATGTTCTATTTTCATAGTTAAAAGTAAATCCAAAAATGGTTCCTTCAATTCAGAATTACATTTTTTCTTAATAGAGGTTTCTTTCATAGGTATTGACAGCTAACAAATGATAGTGAATTATGATGCATCTAAAAATCGATACAAATATTTTAGCAAGGACAAATGAACAGATAAACAAAATCACATTCTTAACCACACTAAATATTTGCTAACTATATCATCAAGGTTGATTTTGGATTAACCTTACTTAAAAACATTCTGATAAACTTGGAAGAAAAGTGTAATTATATTGAGAGTAGAATTTTAATTCAAAATACATCTTCATGGAAATTATATATTGTCAAGTATTGCTCAAAATATACTGGACAACATGGAATCAAGGTTCATAACATATGAAGAACAAGGTGCCATTTGGCCCTTCAAGACTGTCTCTACACACCTACTCCAAGAAAAGCAAAGCAAAAATTAAACCCATCCTGTCAATTCCATTTTGTATTTATGGCAAAGCTACTAAGGGTATCTGTCACCATCCTTAATTTTGAACTTTAGACCAGAGGGAAGGCAGCGAGTCAAAAGAACCCTTTTCCAACTCTTAAGCTTTTGCCTTCTTAACCTATTGTCTTCATAATTTAATACAAAAAAATCAAATGCCTTTAACCTCTAAATTCCTCAGATAATCTTGTCAACTTTAATAAGATCACTTCTTACCTTTCTCTTTTCAAGAGAAAATAAAAGATCATAAGCCATCTCCATATATTAACCCTCCCATCATTAACCCTGTGTCATCATAATAGCTCTCCTCTGAATGCTTTCCAATAAGTCAATATCATTTCTTAAATAAGTAGACCAAAACTGTACAGAATATTACAAGGGAAGTCAAAATTACTCATAAATATAGTTGATATCCTTATAACTAAGTATATGAGATACAAAAGAACATAAAAAAGAACTGAAATAGGGTTTTTCAGAGTAACTGTTTTTATCATTAGAAAACTGTATTATCTGACAGTATATATCATAAACATAAACAATTTTTCATATCTTTTTATGATTATTACAAATAGTTACTGGCAAGCAACTATTCAAATGCTAGTCATAAAGCCTTCATTTTACCTTGTAAGGCACTAATATCAGCAAGTAGATCTTTAACAAATGATTCTGCAAGGATATCCCATGCTTTGTTTATTGGTGCAAATACTGTTACAGTTGATTTTTCTCTCAAAGGATTGGTTAATTGACCTTGGATTATGGCAGCAGCTGTTTTACTAAGCTGTGGTTGACGAACAATCAGATCAGTGACTGTTAAGTACCGAGGTGGCAGTAACAAACTTTGTGTCAGGTGGATAATTCCATTATTCCCTTCCAGATCCATGGCAACCAAGGGTATGCAGTTGACAGTAACAAGCTGCATTTATGAGAGAAAAATAATTAAAGTATTTTTCACATTATTTAGTCACAAAACAACTTCTTGCAAGTAAAAGCTTCAATTATTTCTCTATCTGTTTGTAATCCTTTTTCTAAAAACAAGCTGTGCAAATTACATGTGAAACATACCCAATATATTGCATTTGTGTACGAATTAACACTTATTAGGTAACCTGAAACTGAAAGTCAATATAAATGTATAGATAACTATAAAATCTGTGGTTTCATTCTCTCGTTGACGGTATGATCAGATGATCTTATTACAGCCAAGCATATAACTGAATCTATAAAGAGTTAAGTACATTATATTCAAAGGAATATTGATCAACTTGGGGACCTAGGACCATATAGAAATAGGCCTGCAACAAGTCGTACCTCATCTGTGTTAAGCAATATGTAACATGTGAGAATCCATGAACACAAAGGACACTGGCAAAAGTTGTCCAAGTACCCCACGAAACAGCATGAAATATAATCAAGAAGGATCTCCATCTGGAAACGAGGCCAACAGGGCATGGGTTCACAAAGTCAAGTATACACAGTTTGTTTCCACAATATATCAATTCAATCACCACATACCTAAAGCAGCTGAAAAAATAAATTGGTATCTATGCTATTCTATATGAAAACACAACGATCAAGACACTGGACACAGTATCTTTAAATTTCTGTACAATCGGGCTGTTGAAATGGGTTTGGGAAACTGCTGTCCTCATAAATTACATGAATTATGGAAAGTATGCATAGTTAAGTGGCATGTGTTGAACGTGACAGCCTTTTGCAATGGTAAATACATCGCATGATTACTGTCAAGTTACACTTTCTTAAGATGTTGAACATGACCAGACATGGCAATATGAACTGTAACATGGTGAGGCTATTACATTCAATTCACCAACTTTATGAAGTACTATTTAATTCCTGATAAAGTAATCAAAGCAAACACAGTGTTACGACAGCGGAAGTCACGTGATTCTAATAACACGTCATGAACTTCTAAAAGGATCATGTCCTTTCCTGAAGCCTCGGGAGGCTACTAGATATGCGGTAGTCTTGTATAATGTGTAATTGAACTACGGACACAATTAGACGTATTGTTGAGTCGAGCACGTGAGCTTCGTTGTGAATTATAGCGTTTGTTATAGTGTGACTGTGTAAATTAAATGTATTGCAAAGTTGTATTTAGAAAGAATAAACCAG